GGAATTGAATTGATTTCTATAACTTGCTGATTGCATCATTTCTGAAATAGTGCAATTAAAGGGACTGGATAACACTGATTTATGGATTTTAATTAGTAGCTAATAGGTATGCGAATAGGTTGTTGGGGATGGTTTGTATTAGATAAGTTTTCATTTACTAGAGAGAAGAGATTGGAATTTGAGAGATCTAAACAACATTTAATTAGATAAGTGAGATCTAAATTACGTTGGAACTTGGAAGTCAGCATTTAGACAATTGTAATGTCGAAAGATAAATTTAAATTTCCAACTACTCAATCAATGCCACAAAAATAAGAAATCTGTGCTCCAGAGACGAGGTGATAAGGATGCAATCTGTTAAACCCGTCCAATAGAAACACGTGTAGTTTAGTTTAGTTTGGTTCGGTTTCCTCTTGTTGTTTAGTTTTAAAACCATTGACCAACTATGAAATTGAAATTTTGTAAATTTGTAAACTGCAGCCGACCAGAAGTTGGTTGAAATCGTCTCCTTTTCCAAGGTTATCAACAACATTTGACCATATCTGGCTTGTAATTTTAGGCATATGAGAGGAAGATCCACCTTTGGACTGTCCCAAAATAGGTCTCATTTGGTCCAAAAAACTGATTCCACGAGGTCCAGGTACTGACCAGGCCCAAAGGCTTTGAGGCTTAACTTAGGCCTAATCACCTCTAATTCCACAAAATAATTGGTCTTCTTAGAGTGACACAAATCATGGGCACTAACTCCTAAAGTTCCCTAGCCAGGTCCCTCCCTGTTCACAATGGGGTTTGGTCGGGTGATTCGGTTGTCCGAACACCCGAACAAAATCTGCATGAGCCACCTCTTGAAATTGCATCCCTTGTATTGTTATATGATTGTTACTCTGGTGACTCTTGTTCTGTTTTGTTCGTGGTTATGGTTATATGTTAGGTATAATATTGTATTTATATGTTCTATTTTGTTCGTGGATATGGTTATATGTTAGGTATAATATTGTGTTTATAGGTATTTTGAAATGAATTTCTGTTATCATAGATGAACATGAGTAACTTATTTGTTTTATATTTGATCATTTTGGCCTAAATGCCTATCTGTGAAGATTTTCTAACTCTTATGCCCTTGGTATAATATTATCACTCTGCATGCTCGTAGTCAAATCAAAATTAGTTGCATTAATCACCAGTCCATATATCTTCAAAAACTAAAAAACCTAAAGTTAAGATAAGTACAAACTAGTATTAAACATCACGAAGATTGTCAAAGATGCCGATAAACTGTTAAACGGGAAATTATTGAATTGTCCCAAACTAGCACCTAGAAAGACGACGTGCAAAAATTAACAGGATTGCAAATATTGGACTTATTAAATGTGAAACTATTGAAACCTGCTATCTGCGCTTTAAGCCTAAAGTAAGTCGTCTTGGTCAAATCATTTTTGCCATAATAGTCTCACTTTCTCAAAAGCACGGTGAATTGCTGTAGTAGCCTTCAAGGTTAGTTCTAGCATCCAATCTCGGGCTCTCGTAGCTAAAAAACTCACAACCTGGTGTCCCTCTCTGGGGATGTAATCAAACATTTAATTGTTGAACTCTTTAGGAGTTAATTTCCTGTAGGTACAAATGCATTAGTTTAAAGAAAAAAAAAATTTCATTTGAACGACTTCTAAATAAAATAAATAAAGCAATAATTAATACATGTAGAGATCGTAATATTTCACTGGTAATTCGCCGCCTTTAATAGCTTTAACAATGAATGAGTTATGAAATTGTATTAATATCTACGTGAACATATATTGTCGAGTTAGAAGGAGGCTACATTTGGCAGCTTTTAGCTCAGCTTCATATCTGTCGCGTACAACTCTGAGCTGTATAGCTTGTATAGCTTTCATCGTACCCAAATGATCTTGCAAAACAACCTCGTTGAAACATAAACACTGCCATCTGTCTTAATGAATGATATATCTGAGATGATTGTTATCGAATCCAGGAATCCAAATGGCCCTGTCAATTGGTTGTTCTAAGAGCAGAGTATTAATTATACTCGAAACCCTAATTTTTTGAAATTTAATAAATTCTTCGAAATGGACCCAAATTCGAAAATATGTCCATATATACGAAAATGTATATGGGTTGTGTCAATTTTGATTGTAATTTGTATAAAATACGGAGGTGGGGTAAATGCTTTTCTTCGAATTAGGTTTTCAAACTAACAATTTTCAAGAAGATACATACATAACAAAGATAATAACACTTATTATTATATGAATACTCCTCATTTATTGGATCATCCCTCTTGAATGACCTGAATCAGTTGAATCAGTTAGTAAGTGAAGAGGAGTATTCATATAATGGTTGTTATTAACTTTGTTTTGTATATATCTTCTTGAAAATTGATTGTTGTATTTTATTAATTCTGTAGGTTTCAAAATGGTTCTTTTTCGGATGAGACCTGTGATTAGTTTTTTAGTTAGAATTATGGATTATTGTATATCGATCCCATTTGAGATTAGTTTGAGAATCCAATTCGAAGAAAAGCATTTATCACATTTTCGTACTTTATACGGATTATAATCGAAATTGAAAAGACCCATATACATTTCCGTGAAGGAGTACATGGACCTATTTGTGAATTTGGATCCATAGCAGTATGACTGTTTCGAGAATTTCATTAAAGTTCAGACAATTAGTGTGTTGAGTATATTAATATTCTACACTTGGAACAACTAATTGGTAGGCTTACTTGGGTTCCTCCTCCCATGTATTGGAATAAAATCAACTCATGCATCATTCATTAGGATAAGTGGGACTGTTTATGGTTTTGCAGTGTTGTTTTCTGCGATTATTTGAGTACGATTAAACTATACATGTTATACGGATCAGAGGTGTACGCGACAGCTACGAAGCTGAGTTAAAAGCTGCCTAATGTAGCCTCATTCTGGCTCGACAATATGGGTTCACGTAGATGTTAATACAATTGGATGACTCATTCATTATTAAAGCTATCAATGGCGACAAATTACGCATGGAATATTATGATCTCTACGGGCCTGTTTGGTAACGTTTACGTTTTCAATCTATATTTACAAAAATTTTATAAACTGGTTTTTATTTATTTTCAGAAAAACATAAACTACAAACGCGTTTGGTTTAGACAAAATGTTTAAGAAAATTTAAAAATATAAAGAAGAGTGAGAAATGGCAAGTGGTGGTGGGTGATAGCGGAAGACGGTGGTGGAAAGTGGTGACGGTGGGTGGTTGGTAGCTGGTGGTGGTGGGTGGTGACGGGTGGGTGGTGGTGGTGGTAGTGGGTGGGTAGGTGGTAGCAGGTGGGTGGTGGTGGTGGTGGCAGGTGGTGGGTGGTGGTGGCGGCGAAGTGAGTGGTGAGTGTGCGTAAGTGTGTGGGGGTTGGTGGCACAAGACGGTGGTGGAAACTGGTGGCGGGTGGTCGCTAGTGTTGGGTGGTAAAAAAAAAAGAATTGAAAACTCAACGGAAACACGTTTTTTGAGTTTACATTTTTTGACCAAATTTATAAACTGTGACCACTGATTTATAAATAAAAAATTTACCAAACAAGTTTTTATTTGAGTTTTTTAAATTTTTGTAAATATAAACTGAAAACGTTAGTGTTACCAAACGGCACCTATATGTATAAATTATTTCTTTATATATTTTTATTTGGAAGTCTTGCAAATAAATTTTTTTCTTTACACTAATGCATTTTTGTACCTATAGGAGATCACCCTTTAAAGTGTTCAAGAATTAGATGTTTGATTACTTCTTAGAAAGGAAAACTAGGCTATGAATTTTTTGGCTATAAGAGCTGGAGATTGGATGTTAGAACTAACGTCGAAGACTACTGCGGCAATTCCTCGTTTGAGGAAGTAAAGAGACTATTATGGCAAAAATGATTTGGTTGAGACGACTTATTTTAGGCTTAATGCGCATGTAGCAGGTTTCAATAGTTTCACATTTAATAAGTCTAGTATTTGCTATCTTGTTAATTTTTGCGCACTGTCTTTCTAGGTGCTAGTTTGGGACAATTCAATAGTTTCACATTTAACGGTTTGTCGGGTACTTTGCCCATCTTCTTTACATTGAATTCTAGTTTGTACTTAATTTTTTGGTTTTTTAATTTTTGAATATATATGAACTGGTGATTAGTGTAACTAATTTTGATCTGACTATAAGCATATTGCAGGATGAGAAATGTTATACTGAGAGCATAAGAGGTACAAAATCTCCATGGATAGGCATTGAGGCAAAAACGATCAAATGTGAATATGTTTTCATCAAACAAACAAGTTACTCATGTTCGTCTCTAATAACAAAAATTCATTTTAAAATACATATAAATACAATATTATACCTAACATATAACCATATCTACAGGGAAAACAGTACTAGGGTTATCGAGGTGACAATCATATAACAATACATGGGATGTGATTTCAATTGGTGGCTCGTACAGCCTCTATAGGTGGCTCCCAAAATAGTTTAGCACTTAGTTCCCCAGAACAGGTAGTTCCACACAGCATTTTATTCCACATGAAGAGCACTTCGTTCCACATCAAGTGGGATCTTTCTAAAGTAGCAGTAGATGATTATGTATACATGTTTTTGTCTCTTTTTTTCTTCTTATCTTGGTAAGGTTTCAATGATAGGTGTACTTACAAGATTCTGTGTAGGTTAGCAAAATAAGTTGTGGTGGCATTAGGGCTGCAAAAGAACTGAATTGTTTTTAAATAACTCGAGGTCGGTTCATTTAAAGTTTCTTTAAACTTTATTTATTAAGTAAAATAGTTCAAACTCGATTTTAGGCCCGTGTAGTAATTAAGCAAAGCTCGAGTAGACCTACATTTAGCTCAATAAGTCTCATGAAGATAAAAATAAAAAATAAATAAAATAAATATTTTTAATACTATATGAAATCAATTTTTATTATTTTATTTTATTTATTTGTGTTTGGTATTTATGTAAATTTCCATGTTTGATCGAAAAAGAACGAGAAAAGCTGGGCAGGAAAATGAATTGATTTCAACAGTTCTCTTCTTCCTCCTACAGTTTAATTGAACCTCAACCTGTTCAGCTCTTCCTGTTCAACTATTGTTGAAATCAATTCATTTTCACCATCTCTAACTTGAATGCCTAGGTCCTTTGCCATGCCTTTAAGGTCTGTTTTGCGTTGCTATAATGAGATTGTTGGATGTAGCTAATAGAGATGGTTCTTTTTTTTTCACAGGCATTTAAACGAATGCAATGGGTAGAGACTGTAGAAGAAATGTAGCAATTTCTTATGGTAAGATGCAGGGAAAAGCTACACTCAAGGTCCACCAGCATGGTCAAACTTGAAGACTGAAGATATGCATGTGATCAGGTATTCTCATTACCTGAGGAAAACATTTTCAAAAATAGCTTATATATGTCGTTGGGGTGAAATGTTATTTGTTGGATGTTGTCTATTCGGTTGATTTTGGGACAGTCCCCTTATTACTTGTTTGCCCGGTGTTTGTACTCTCCTATTATCACTTCTTTGTAAGTGTTGGACTAGGAATCTTATCGATTTGCTATGGTGTGGTGATGCAGATTTTGTGTTGTGCATAGAGGCCTATGCTTGGTGCGCTAACTCATCTATTTTTGTTTCCATTGAGTTGAGGTGTCTGTTATGGGTCTTGTTTGTCATCGCGAATTGCTGACTTTTGGAAATAGAGTTATTTCCTTTAACATGGTTGAGTTGCGATTTGCATTGAAATTTGGAGTTTGATTTTTGACACACGTTTTAGTTGAGCGAGTTAAAAAGACGTTCTTGTAAGAAAAGGAATGTGGCTGTAGTGTCGGTTTGAACAAATTTTGGAAGGAAAACAAGATTCTGTGTAGGTTAGCAAAATAAGTTGCGGTGGCATTAGAGCTGCAAAAGAACTGAATTGTTTTTAAATAACTCGAGATCGGTTCATTTAAAGTTTCTTTAAACTTTATTTATTAAGTAAAATAGTTCAAACTCGATTTTAGGCCCGTGTAGTAATTAAGCAGAGCTCGAGTAGACCTACATTTAGCTCAATAAGTCTCATGAAGATAAAAATAAAAAGTAAATAAAATAAATATTTTTAATACTATATGAAATCAATTTTTATTATTTTATTTTATTTTATTTATTTGTGTTTGGTGTTTATGTAAATTTCCATGTTTGATTAATAAAATTTATTATTAATATAAGTATTCTTTTATATTTTGTTCATAATTTATTTTTTTTCAATTTTAATTAGCAAATTAATTTTTAAAAAAAATTTAAACTTGAGTTTTAACTTGTCTTGTTTTTATAATTGAGTTGGCTCAAGTTCAACTCAAAATTTTTAAATAATTGACAAGCTAAGCTTGATGGTGCAACTAATACTTAAGCAAACAAACTCAAAAGTTCAATTCTGCTTGAGTCCACAGATGAAATAAATTTTGGCCCAAGGATGAGGGAGCCTATTTTATTTTAATAGTATAGGGAAACCTGGAAATATGGCTTCACTTGGTGTGGAATTGCATAGAACTCAAAAACCTAACCTTATAGATTCTTTTTTATTTTATTTTATTTTATTATGAAGGTATTTGGTGGTCTGCTTTAAAGTTGACAATCAGATAAACTTTCACTAGTTCTTTGAGAGATTTGAATTTGAGGAATGCAGAATGAAAATAAGCACTAAATCAGTTATAGTAATAAATAATAAAAAAATGAGCAACAACTGGATCTTCAGAGATCTGGACAGTTTTGGAAACGCTATTTGAAAGTGTGTATATCTGAGGAATGAAGAAATAGTTGCTATGCATTGAGGAGGCTTCACTGCTTACATTTTACATTTCCTGCTAATACCCACTATTCTTTTTGTGTGCCATGTTTGGTTTGTCTCTTAACAAAAACTTAAGGTGATCTTTTTCTTTGCATCCAATCCAACTCAATCTTTCACGCTTTTTCCTCTTGATTCTTGTGTTCTGGCCTGAAAATTCATATTAATCCCTGTTGTGGATATGCTCATAGTCCTTGCATTTTATTGGTGTGGGTATTATGCATGGTGTGGGATCTTTGTTTCGCAATCTATTTGGGCTTAAATCTAGTGCTCTTCTTGCTTCTGTGATGCTTGCACTATCTTGGCCCCTTAAACATCACTTTCTACACATTCATGTTTATACTAACCCTAAATCTTTGTTTGATCTGCTGAAAAAAGGTACTAACGGTCTTGAAGACTGCAGCACTCCTTGGATTTTCTTGGATTTTGGTGTTTGCTACATTGCCCCGTCATTCCACTCTGAATTATTTTTCTCTGTTGCAAACCTTTGTCAATAGAAGCATTTAGAGTAGCTTGTTTTGCTATTGGCGATATCCCTTGGGTACCTCTGTGCGGTTCGGAGAGTTTTGTGTTTATTTCCTGGTTGTGTGCCTTATCTGCTATTTCGTCTTGGTTGTGAAAGTTGCATCCTAGTTGAGAATGCTCCAAACTACACACATTCAAGACCCTGACTTCTATAAGAGTGTCAAAATTAGTCTTCAGAAGCAAAATATTTTCAAAATATTTCAACTTATATTTGTCATCAGGTGCAATGTTATTCCATGATTACTGTTAAGCTTGATTTGTTGGATGTCATCTATTCAGTTGATTTTGGTATAGTTCCCTTATTACTTGTTTGGCCGGGGTTTATATTCTCCTATTGTTGCTTGGGTGTAAGTGTTGGACTGAGAATCTTATCAATTCACTGTGGTGATGTGAAGTTGGTGTTGTGCTTTGGCACTCACTTGTATATTTTATTTCCATTAAGTTGAGGTCTCGGTGATTGGTCTTGTTTGTAGTTGGGAATTGTTGACTTTTGGAAATAGGGTTATATTTTGTTTGTAGTTGGGAATTGTTGACTTTTGGAAATAGAGTTATATTTCCTTTTAACATGGTTGAGTTGCGATTTGCATCAAATTTTGGAGATTGATATGTATCTCATGTTTGTTTAGTCATGAGATTAGATGTCAGGAAATGATTATTTGGTTGGATAGGATATGAATCCTTTGTTTGGGATATTATGGAGAAAGATTATTTTACCCTTTCTAAATTATTTGTTAAGTAATAGCAATATTAGACATATCTTTAATATTTTAATTATTTTTAGTTTTAAATAAATTTATTTTTTAAAAATTAAATAAATAAAAAATCAATAAAAAAATATGTTATTTTTTTAATTAAAATTTTAAATAAATTTATTTTAAAAAATAATAATAATTAAATAATAAAATAAAATAAAACATCTATTATAATTTAAATAATGAAGTTAAAAAACATATAAACAAAGTTTTGAAATAAAATATGAATAAAATATATATAAAAAAATTATTTTAAAAATTAAATACATGTTATCAATAAAAATTAAATAAAATTATTTTATTTTTAAATTTAAATTTGGTTTAATTTTACTACACATAATACATAATTAGATAGTAGAGGTTCAAAATAGTCATTTCACAACCAAATCCCATATCTCCTCATTTGTGTCCCAACCCCCAACCAATAGGACACAATAGTCCAACACATTTGAGACTAATAGTGCGGAGGGACTATTAATCCGGAGCAAAATTGGAAAACAAAACAATTGATATAAATCTTATACCACCCTCTAATTTTATCCCACCCTCCAATACCTCCAAACAAACAACTAAAAGTATTTTAGACACCTCATTCATTATCAGCCTCAATAGTTATTCTCTCTACTCTTCCTACTTTCATCACTATGGATTTTCATACCTAACCCTAACCCAACACTATTTGCCTTTTTTTTTTTTTGGAACCGACTCTATTTGCCTTAATTCATCATTTTTGCATTCTATTTCATATTGAAATCAACAATGGACAATAAAAAAGATGTTTTCAAGTAATTTTTTGTGAAGAAAGTAAGTTTTAAATTGTTGTTCATCGTTTTTTGTAAGTTGATTTTCCCAATTGATTCGACCCTGAGTAGGGGTGATCATTTGCTGAATTTGGGCCAAGCTGACACTACTTAATAAGGGATTTTGTGTCTACCCAAGCCCATCTAGCTCAAACATCTGGCCTATATCATCCTCTCAAGCTCAACCCTGATATAAATTATAATTCTCAAGCCCGTCAACTGGGCCATATACATAAGCTATTAAAAAATCTCTATTCGTCGCTTGGAATTCCAAAGACTCAAAATATGATTTTTGTTCCCCTATTTATTGGTAATGGGGTGTACAAAGTATATTTGTATAGGATTTTAGGATTTTTAGGTATTATTTGGGTTGTCTACACAAATAAATAAAATTTTAAATTCATTATCGGGGTGCTCAAAGTAATGACGTGCCAAACTTACTTTTTGGGGTGTAAATAGAAGCTCCCAGAATATGGATATAAGCCAACTTGTGAAATTACCGAAATACCCTACATTTGGAAAATGTTAGTGGAAGGAAAAATGGTAATTTCAAAAATATGCATTAGGGTAAAATGTGAATTTTAGAATTTTAACAAATGATGTCACACCATATTATAATAATAATTTTTCCAAAAAAAAAAAAAGAAGAAGTTTATTTAGCACTTCCCAAATGCATTTGTGAAAAAGCCATAAAATAAGCTCAAAAAAACTACTTATTTCCTTCTTTCCAAAACACCCTTATATTAAGGAAAAAGTAGAGATAAATTCCTCTACATATTTCTATAAGAGTTAAAAATATTGAAAGATTGCATATTAGTTAGTCTCTGAATTTCAAATTTTAATAAGATAATGAAAACGTTTTGAAATAAATGGTCAGAACTACCCTTAAACTCTAAAAATACTACAATTAATAGATTTTATATTACGCCTCCCTGCGTATCTCTTTCTATTCTGCTTCAATCATCTCCTCGTTGCCATCACTATTACTCTTGCTGTTTACAACCACAGTCCAGATCTAAAACAAATCGCCGCTATTCACAGTCACATTCCATATTTGAACTAAGAGGTTTTTTTGGGAAGTATTAGATTAGTACACTTTTTGACTTTTTACAAAAAAAAAAAAAAAATGTGAAATGTAGATTGGGGTTGAATTGATGTGATAAAGAGGTGATGTGACCCAAATAAGATGATTGTGACCCAAACAAGATAATGTGCTGAAATAGCATGTCTTATTTTAGCACATGCCAAACAATCTCTAAGTGTCATTCACAACTACAAACTCATTGTTGTCTCTTTCAAATTTGCTACTGTTGTTTCTAAGTCGACTAGTACTATCATCCAGATCTTAAAGTAGCTATGGCAATTTTGGTTGAAAGTGGTGGAATAATAAATCTTGATTAAGGATAGTTTTTTTTTTCTTCCAAAAAAGAGATAGTGTCCTTAAAACTAATAAACATATTTCAGTTGTTCTTAAAGTAATATAAAATATTTTGTAGGGACCTAAATTAAAAAACGCGTTAAATAAGTATACAATTAAGTAAAATATATTAATAATTAGGCTAGGCTGGGTTTAAAAACGATTTTCAAACCTAGCTTATTGAATAAATAAACTTGAAAATTCAACCCAAGCCCAACCTTATGAACTTGAATTTAAATTCTAAACTTTTAAAAATATGAGTTTTTTTTTCTCTTTAGGATTTGAAGAATATGAGTTGTGTTAGATAGTCAAATAGGCTATTGAGCTAGTGTGCTCCTCTAATTGGAGTTCGGATTGTCACAACCTGCTACTTTTCCTACAACAGAAGCCCTATTTAAATAAAGATCGGAGGCATGAAGGTAATAGAAGATTCTAGAACCTCCTAAAAAACTTGAGAAAATAATGGTCTTCTTGTACATACATCTAGAATGATGTACACATTTGTATAATATATTTATATAGAGAATTCCAGAACCCTCTTGTAGGATAAGGATAGCTTCCATGAGAAACTTCTCCATAGTTCATTTCTTATATATTTTGAAATATTCTAAAGAAGGCTTAAGTTGCCTATAAATGGGAGAAGGGCTCATTTGTTTCAATACACAATCCAAGACTTGTACATTTTCCCCAAAGTGAATACAATAGTATTCTTCAAACTCTCTTTGTGTTCCTAGCTTCTCATGTTGTAATTCGCTTGGGTTAGGCTGACTTAGCAATCATCAAGAAATGAACTATGGAGTGGATTACGAAAACCCACTCACGTGAAATGGATTGCGAAAACCTCCTTCTGGTATCCTTGATTCTTTCATTGTCGAGGTTGTCAATTCATTGCTATCATCTTCATCACACTCTCTCTCCTTCTGCTTCTTGTTATTGATTTCAACAGAGCACGAATCGTAATTCTGGTAATTACCCATTTCTTGCCCTCTGATTCTTTGTTTCCTCCTTCCAATTGATGCTTCTTTGAAGAACTCATGTGCGAATCAAATTCAAATTCATTTTGACAGTCCTTCATAGACCAATTTCTGACTTTTATCTAGTAAGTTTTGTTTGGGTATGTATCTATATATCCATATATATTTTTTGTTCATTTTTCATGGATTTCTCACTTAAATTTGTTTGGATGCTCAAGAAATTGAGTCAAAAAAGAAGAAAATTAAAAAGAAAGCATGGGCTTTTGTTACTTTTTGTGCTTTTACAAACACTTGTTCACATGATATGTATATCAGTATATATACATACCCAGACAAATGTTACAATGGTCTCTATAACATTTGAAATAAAGATTAAGGGCGGTGAAGGGGGCCAAAGAAGCCTCAGCTGTTGGTATAGAGGCGGTGGCCCTTCGGCGACTGAAGCCAGTGTTCCTCCGCCATAGCTATAAAATTGGGAAAATATTAGAACAAATTCAAACAAAGAGGAGAGATAAAATGGGAGAAAGAGAAATGGATTTGAGAACTCGGTTAGGAAACCAAGAGTTCAAAAGGATTTTATGTGAATTAAAGCCCTCAAAATTAATAATAAACCCATCAAAAACACCAAAATACTCTCACCTATATCAGTTCTAAATCCATAAAAACACACACAAAAAAGAAAAAGAAAAAAAGAGAGCTCTTTGATATTAACCTTCTGGTGATGATTACAGTGGGGACTCCAGAAATTTTTATGGAGCATTTACATACAAGTCCCATTTTGTGAATTTATAATCCATTAGGTCCTATATAAAATTATTTGTTCTTTTAAGTCCCATTAATTTTTAATAGACCAATTTACCCTTCCAAACCTAAATTTGGGAATCAGATGGTCGTCTTCCAACCATTGCTACACTAGCACTGGAATTCCATCATCTAAATTTCTTCCTGTAACACCAATGATGCCTGTAACTCTCTGTGTGTGTGCGTGTGCGTGTGTGTGTGTGTGAATTTGGATGTAGATCTTGTTTGATCAATCGGAGGAGTCTAGGGTTAAATTACATACATGTTTGTGATTGGGTGTGTGGTGCTGGAGAAGAAGACAACGATGCATTTTGCTAGAGCTCCGAAAGTTGTGTGTTGAGCTGCTACTGAGCTGCTGCGCCAGAGTTTGGCCGCCAATTTGTATCTTTGCCGATCCGGCATGAGGTGAGGATGAAGCTTGTGCCGTGTCTTCTGGTGCTGGTATGGCTTTTGCTCTTCCGGTGCCGTGCGTTGAGGATGATGAAGGTGGGTCGCTCTGGCGTGGTTTTCACGCTCCCTTTGTGTGTAGCGTGCTGTCTAGCTCATGCGTATGTTGCTGTGTTTCAAAGTCCTTGCTGCTGCAGTGCCTTTTGCAAGGGTTTTGATGTATTGGACTGAAATTATTTATTAACTTGTCTAATGTGTTCACTCAAGACACTGTGTAGCTGAGTCTCTTTTTTGGAATTGAGAATATTCTCAGTTTATAGTATTCTCAATTTTAATCATGAAAAAAAAACTCAATTCAGCAATGTAATATGTCAGGTTTGCAGAATTATCTTTCTTTTCAATTCCATACTTTTCTTAGAAGCCAAACAGAAATTT